CCCCCACCCTTTAATTTCCCCTTCCATTTGGCCAATAAGCAGCCGCAACCCTGCTATATTGTCATTTTCGCTGCAATCCAAAAGGACAGTTTCAATTCCTTTTCTACTAGAGACAAGATCTCATTGCACACGAATCTTGCGTATTTAATAGGTCTTAACGCGCTATTTTCACTGATTGCACCTTTTCCGGATCACCCTAATTAGGAGGAGGAGACGCCATTCAAAACAAAAGGCTTGCTTCGCACCGAGTTTCCTATCATTTAACAGATTGTTTGTAGGTACTTATTAGCTCGAATATAAGCCCCCAATGATTATGCTACCATTTATCCAAAAAAATCTTGAAAGTGAGTTGGGCGTCCCGCCTTGGTCACATAGACACTTCAGTATCTATGCCTACCTATCACTCGAAACTATAAGGTGACTGCAGACTTTCACTACCATGCGCAAAATAACCTGATGCAATCGATTTTGTGCAGATCTGGAGTACTACCAGTCAGGGAACGAAGCCCCTAAGGGAACTTGTGGTCAATCAACATTGTCACATTGTTCCCTCAATCTTAAAACGCAGATTCGTTCGCGAGTTCTAAACACCCTAATTTCAGTTCTGATACCTGTGAAATCACAGTATGCAAGAAAATTAAATACATTTACGATATAAAATTATCTGTTATTATCTAAAAAATGATACGCCTGTGAGTAACAAAAGGCTTTATTTGTACATTAACACCGAAGGCATTAAGAAGGAGATGGATGAGAGTCGATTTTGTGAGAAAGGAAATTAATATGTGTCGGGGTTCGCGTTAACCATCATACGCGGTGCAATGGACATGGCCATCAGCTCCTGGAACAGCAGTTTGCAGGCGTATGGTAGTCCAACTTGCGAGATCTACAAAGAATTAAAAAATCAGATTAATTACCAACACTAAGCGAAAATAATAAGCATAACACTTAACAACTCATCCGCTTTGAAAAAAAAACAAAAAAATGAGTTTCAGTCTTTGTATGGCACATGATAACAAATACAAACCCGAACGACCAAACACTTGAGGAAAAAAGTGAAAGACTTAAATTTAAACAGTGGCGGTCCGAGTGATAGTTAAACAGAAATTCTATTGTACTACAATATTAGTACCCGATATATTATTCGTAATGCGCTATCAGTTTTTAATCAATCCTCCAGTGCCTACGTATCACACATAACATTTCACACTGCAAACAATACATCAGCGATAATCTGCTACAGCTTTCCTGGTTTATGTGAAGAGTATTTGCAACCTACGCCTTCACAGAAAGGTCCTATGCATCCATTTCAGTTCACTGGATGTTTGGATTAAGACAAAGCGCTGTTAAAGTGGTAAGGCGGATTTTACGAAACCGTTGAATTTGCAACTAGTACTACTAATAATACATCAGAAGCAATTATAATTACTGAACCTGGTCTGCGCGAAAAATTACTCTAACGCGTATTTTCACTAGAAGGCCTAGTTCTAATCAGATCACAGTAATGACCAAATTAAAACAAGCGCGAACATAATATCCCATTAAAGGGTTCAAACGACCAAAGTAGCAATGACTCAACTATTGCCACATGCACTTAGGAAGTAAAGAACTCAACAAGCCAAACATAGTCTTAGCAGCATGCTACAAGGTTATATTATTCAAAGCATGATGGAGATTACTCATTTAGCTGGAATTAAATAGAGAAATAACAAGTATGATACTCACTTGAGTCGTATTCTGGCATGCCGGGCATTCAAATGTTTTGTTTCTTTGATGGGCGATAGCCATTAGACCACAGAGGTTACATACATACACCTGATAAGGATCACTAGCAAAAAAGAGTCTCTCTCTAAGGAACTGCGCTGCACCATGAGCAATCTGACAATCACGCTCCATTTCACCGAAACGTAGACCACCATCTCTTGAACGGCCTTCCATTGGTTGACGATTGAGGATTTGCACTGGGCCACGAGAACGGGAGTGGATTTTATCATCAACCATATGCTTCAATCGCTGATAATAAGTAGGACCCAAGAAGATTTGGGAGTTGAGCTTTCTTCCGGTGAAACCGTTATACATAATTTCATTCCCGGTGTGCATATAACCGTACTCTCGAAGAAGATTGGAGATTTTACGAACATTAACGGTATCGTTGAAAGGAGTGGCATCACCAATTTCGCCCTTATTAGCACTAACTTTGCCCTGAAGATGGGAAATTAGAGCATTAATAACTATTTAAATATGATATGAGCAAACTCAAAAGGCGGCTTTACTCACTTGAAGGCACTCAATCAAGTGACCGATAGTCATACGACTGGGGATAGCGTGAGGATTGATAATAATGTCTGGAGTGATACCTTCACAAGTGAAGGGCATATCCTCTTGACGAAGGAGAATACCACAGGTACCCTTTTGACCGTGGCGGGAGGCAAATTTGTCACCCACTTGTGGTGTCTTAGTAGTTCGAACCCGCACTTTACAGAACAGATTGCCCTCGTTATTGTAAGTCAGCATCACTTGATCAACTATGCCGTATTCACTACGACGCATAAATACTGAAGCGTCACGTTTAGTGAAGCGCTTATCTCCAACTTGAGTCTGAAAATTAAAAATTGTTGTTACTTATAAGATTTAAGTAAATAGGTATGAGACAATGAATAAACAAACCTCCTCATCTTGGTCAAGGATTTCAAGCGTCTTTCCAATCAGAACATCGTCACCAGAAACCCGCATTCCAGGAGGAATAAGACCATCTTCATCCAGCTTGTCGTACACGGCACGTTTAATGCCAGCACACTCGTTAGGATTTGGTTTTTCAAACCTCTCTGTTTGTCTTGATCCAAATTTGCCTTCTTGATCCTTATAGGTTCGATAGAACTCAGACCGGAAGAAACCTCGTTGAATAGCACTCTCGTTAACAACCAAGGAGTCTTCTTGATTGTATCCAGTGTAGCATGCAATGGCCACAATTGCATTAATACCAGCGGGCAACTCACGGAAACGTAGATACTCCATAGAACGAGTTGTAACAAGAGGTTTTTGGGGATAGTATAGAACATTGGACAGGGTATCCATTCGAGTGTGGAAATTTGTAATATACACACCCATAGCCTGTTTGCCCATAGCACTCTGATAGGTATTACGAGGGGACTGGTTGTGATCACAGAAGGGGATAATACTGGCGCAAATACCCAAGATCATACTTGGATGAATTTCACAGTGAGTGTGGGTTTTACAATAGTGCACAGCCGCTTGCATTTCTGAAGGGCCCATGGCAATCATGGTGGTTTCTTCCTCCATTGTATCAATGTATTCCACAACACCACTCAAAACGAGTTCTTGCCAGCTATAAAAAAGTAAAGTAGAGATAACCAACGACGTGCTAGCCTAACAATTGATCTCAATGTTCGCACATGACCTGATTGGGACCTTACTCTAATGATTGATCGAAACCCATGTTCTGATCAATGTAGATGTTTACCATACCGATTTGTAAGCATAAAATAATAAAAATGTCGAGGAGAGCAAATAACAAATGCGAAAAGCTTAGCAACAAGTACTTCCGATTAAATGTATTGGAAAAAGTGTCCCTCATTGCAACAGTAAATCATGGCAAATAATGCTGCGTGAAAAGTCATTGGCATGCCAATAACTAAAGCTTAGACAGATTGATAACCAACCTCGTCCAAAAAATGACACCGAAGACCACTAAGCAAAAGAGAATAATATGATTGATGGATAAAATAGGAAAATTAGATACTGATATACCACAATAACGAGAAGGATTTTGTCCATAAGATAGACAAACGCAAACAACTCGGTGTTTGAAAAACAGAGAATTAATAGCTATGAATTTAGATTACGGTGTTCCTACTTCGTTACGTTAATATTTAAATTGAAAGCATCACGCGGTAAAAAAACATTTCAAGGTTGTGTTAACTCACCCAAATCGACTGAGATGTGTATCCGTCAGATATTTAATATGCTTTTTCTTCAACATAAGATTACCCTTCTCCACAATAATCAAAGGACGACAGATACGACCCGCATCAGTATAGATACGAATTTCCTGATCACGATAATCCCTGACCATACTAACCTCACTCACAATGACATCGACTTGTCGTCGAAGTTTTCTCAAAGTCACCATGAGGTTATCAGGCGAATTGTGAATTCCAACCCAGCAACCATTGACAAATATTTTACAGGATCTAAAGAAAGTGATGTTAGTGGCCCGAAAAGGTAGACATACTTTCCAATAGCAGAAGGTGCAACCTCTTCCAGATTTTCCATACTCCACTCTTCAAGGAATTCCAAAATAGGTGAGGGTTGACTACCGACAGAAATGTATGCCATGAGGGCAAGATTTTTCACCAAGCCAACTGCGGAACCTTCTGGAGTTTCTGCTGGGCAGATCATACCCCAGAGAGTGTTGTGCAACTGGCGAGGTCTAGCTAACTTTCCATCTCTTCCGATAGGGGAATTCAATCGACGAAGATGGGACAAAGTAGACGCAAATGTCAAACGGTTCAAAACTTGAGAAACACCAGGTCGAGCCTGATTAGCCTTCTTTTGATCACCCCAATTACCAGTGGCTAGAGAGTACTTCAAACCATCGGTAATAATACCACTCCGAATTGCACTCTCAAGGCCGAAATCCTTTCCCTTATCGACAAATTTTTGGGCGTAGAGACGTATCTCTTTTGTAAGGTTACGGAAAAGTCCACGAAAGAGGAAAGCAAGCAAAGGACCAGCCAAATCAAGACGCTTATTTCCATAATGATCTCTGTCATCAACGTCTCGTCTTTTGAGGGCAGTTAGGAGAAGACGATGTACCATGTAACCAAGGAAATAGGCCTTTCGAGTGTCACAGAAATCCGAAACACCAATATGGGGAAGTGTTTCCTTTTGAAGGATCTCCCTGGCATATTTGATACGCTTCTCCTTGGTTACACCTGGTCTAGCACCACGTGATCCGATGAAATTTTGGGCTACTCTTTGATCTTGAATGCAGAAAGCTTCATCCAGAGAAGGTTTGATCATTTCACGCATTTCATTATCCTCGAAATCGTAGATGATGTGCTCGAGAATATCACGATCTGCCACAAAACCGAGTGCACGGAAAACAATAAGAACAGGAATCTCCTGTTTAATGTAAGGCAAGATGGCAACAATTCTTTGACCGATTGTGGCTCTCTTGTTATTGTCCTTACCTCCGCGAGCCATCATGTTAACCCAAAGTGTGCTAGCCGGACGAGAGCTATGCTCCAAACAGGAACGAATTTCAGTCTTATAGGCATATTTGCTGTCCTTCTGTTGGAAGACATAAACCGTGTTTGTTGCCATCTTCTCTTGAGCGATTAACACCTTTTCAGATCCGTTGATAATGAAATAACCACCTGGATCAAGAGGACATTCATTTAGCTCGGCCAAGTCACGATCACCCATATTATTAAGGAAGCAATAGCTTGACTTTAACATAATTGGGATTTTGCCGATGAATTTCTTGTCACATTTTGTTTCATTCTTCCCATGAGAGGAAATAATAGTCTTTTTAATGTCAACATAGAGAGGAGCAGCGTAAGTAAGATTCCGAAGACGAGCATCACTAGGAGTCATTGGACAAGATGTTCCGTCTTTTTCCCAATGTGTTGCTTTACTGAGATATATCTGTTCGAAAGAGAGTTTGAATTGGGTAGGTTTATCCATTACACCACCAGAATACTGAGCTTCCGCTTGAAACTCAATATCAGGCGAATCTTCGACAATTTTTTGAATAGATGTTTGAATAAACTCATCAAAAGAATCGAGCTGTTGTCGTACTAATCCCTTTTCTTCGAAGTAGCTGCTTATTACGAGCCAACAGGCCTCTTGCCATAAATCTGGCGTAATTTCCCCCTCATCGTCATCAATAAGAGGCATTTCCGACATCAAGTCGGCGTCAGATAAATCTTGCATATCCATATTGTCATAATAATCTACAAATGAGTAGAGATAAAAAGAAAAAGAGAAAAGCCTACGAACCTGACATCTCCGGAGGGTTTGGGAAAAGTGCGCTTAAACAAGTGATGCCTTAAAAAGACAATAAGCGAAAAGATTCTCTAACTTGTAAATATTACGCTAATTAATTAATTTGAGAATAAATATTATTTTTTTGCACGAAAATTTTATTTAGACAACGAATATCACAGACTACGAATTGAGTAATATTTGTGATGTAAATAAAGTGCTCTTCCTCGAGCATTTCGGTTCATAGGTTTAACTCTTTCATAAATTTAACACATTTTCGAATTTCATATGAAATATTATGCTACTTATGAAAATATATATATGATATTGCATGACCGCCAATATAATGTTAACTCCTCTTTTGTTTGAGCGTACTTATATTTAAAGAAACCTCATAATAAATATATTAGTTTAATTTAAATCGTTTCTTCGATCAGTTAAGCATGTAAGGAAAGCTGTAATATAGAATATGTATTACATTTTATATGAAAATTTATTCATATCAAATGGCAGACGTTTTGATAGTTATCATTAGCCCTTTAGCTGACTTCGGACTTCACAGAGGGGAAGGAAAATTGAAGTGGGAAAAATTCGCAAGGGAGAACAGAAGAGTGATTTAAACATATAAAACAGATAGGCATAAAGGTAAAGAAAAGGGTAAGATGAGTACTGTGGATGCGCTCGAAAATGCATTACAGTGGGATCATGGTAGTTTGAAGTCAAAGGTCAACTGCCAGTTTATAGACTTTTTGCAGTATGCGCATGAGCTGCCCAGGGTGCCCAACGCGGAGGTAAGTCCATCGCACCCCTTATTTGAAAATAGGAAGTAACAATATATTTTGTTGTTGAATTTATTGATAAACTATTACTACTACTACTACTACTAATAATAATAATAATAATTTATCTGAATGTACTGGTTTCAACAATTAATAATGCAGAATTTCATATTTAATTTTATTAAAAGATCTCTTTATGCACAATCTTTTGTTATGATTAGTAATTCATTTAATAAACCTAATACTCTGCATTGGTTTTTCCAATTATTCGATTAGCTTATATGAACTTTAGATCATTTTCAATACACTCAGTTGTTAGTAAACGAAATTAAGCAAAGCTCTGCTTTATAACCACAGTGAATATTTTTTGACCTAAAATGGTTAAGCCCCACTCGTCACTTATCCTTATTTGGTCGACGACACAGATCTTTCTTAATAGCTTGAAATTTGTGTGGGAGTGAAATTATTAACTTTGGCTTTATACCACATTAATTTGATTTAGAAACATTTTGGCCTAAATGCGTCGGGCCATAACCTTCTCTCCATGGCCTGAATCTATTGTGCTCTAATGATATCAAGCTGGCATATATACATCATAGATTTAGAAGTCAAACTTCTTTGTATTGAAGTAGGATGGAAGAGGCATGCATTATAATCTTTGGCAAATGATCAAGGTGTTTTTTTGCTTTCAACTTCAGCAAGAATGTTTTCAATAACCGAACGAGAAGGCTCGCTTTAATAATGTCACTAGATATAATGATAAATTTATAAGCAGATTTAAAATAAAACTGAGTTTAAAAACAACAGGAATATTTAATCGATCAAATTTAACGGATTTGCTTTCGCAGGTTTTTGAATATAGATGAGGATGAAATTCATTACGTTGATGAAAATATATACTAACTTGTCATAGAAAACTTTTCAAAAGTATTTACTATAATCACTTTTAATTTCAAAGTCCCCCCCCCCTGGAAAGCGTCTTTCATCTCGGTTGGGGAGGTGACAGGTTATTCCCTCCACAAATTAATGTGGTTCACTGCGCCTTAATGTTTTTTCTCAAAATATTACCACATGGATGATCAAATAATTTTATGTTAGCATAGTTGTATCTTGGCAAGAAGATGAATAATGTCGGGGTAATAGAATAGAAGTTCACCTGTTTGTTGGATTATCAAACTCATGAAACTAATGAACCAGAAAGAGATCCCAAAAGCTAAAGATGAAAGCTATTAACAACAAATCGTTCCAAAAGGTAGAACAAAAAGTTTTGTGCTGACCAATGCGTATTTAATCCACCACAAGGAGAAATCGCGCAAGAAATACGAGAAAGAGGAGGGGGGGGGGGGGGGGGGGACAGAATATTTTAAAGGCAAATGTGTGTGGGGGTGTGTCTGTTTATGGTTTATTTGGTCAAGGACATGCTTGAGAGTATTAATGCAAATGTATTTACAAACAGAGCGGGAAAGCTATCGAAAAAAGGTGGATTGATAAGCTCGTTCAGACACTGCAGATATGGATTTGGGCCAACACTACGCCTTCCTGAAAGAAAAAGCGAAATATTTTCACAGAAAATTTGACGAAAGAAAAATTTTTAAAAATGTATTGAGCTCTACACCAATATGAAGGGCGGAAATTGCCTTTCACTACTCCCCTCCCTCCCCAACTTAGTTTATGCATTTCAAAATTATCCATTCTCCGCCTGGTTATGATGTATTGAAATATGTTGCTTGATAAGAAAGAAAACTGACACCCCAACTAGGGTTGCTCTTAAATGCACTCTGACGCTAGCGGTACAAATATCTGGTTAGTAAGAATGACAGGGAAAGGTAATTATTCAATCAACTATTCAATTTAATCATTATCATTCTCCCACATTTTGACCATGCTTCGCTTAAAACTGACCCATTTAGCAGACATTCTGTGCAAGTTGTTTTGACAGATATAGATTTCAACTCAAGGTGTGCTAACTTTGACCTACTTCTTATAAAAAAATCACTTTTTTGCAGAATATGTATATTAAGCTTCTCAATTTTCGAGTAACTTTACCCTCTCTCTCTCTCGTTAAATCTCGACGAAAATCATTGTTCTTTTTTGTATCGCTTACCATTATTTATTTTTTGCCTCCCATTTGTTGCATTTACAACTAATTGCGGACCTGAGGCTAATGGGCCGTGCACTCAGTAGCGATGAGTCTGGTTCAATAAGAGAAGCACCATCATCTGGCTCTTCCCCTTTGGAGGACTGTTTTATACGTAAACTTATTCATTGGTTTTGCTCAAAGAAAATGTCGTGTGACGAAACTTTTATTCCAGTAAGGAAAAAAAATGAAGGACATTTCAAGTTGTAAATCGAGACTCCATTAATTGTAACTTCGTGTGATAGAAGTTGGCAGTCAAAGTGTCCCGAAATGGTTTGTTAACAAAGTCACTTCTAATGTCATCTATGAGTGTTGACAACCCGTGAAACTCAGGCGGGACCACACCCTTATTTCTGTCATTCATCTAGTGAAAGATGATCTTCCTGCGTATACAGGGTGTGCGAAATAATATTTGGTTGGATTTTTTTCGTTTGTGATAAAGGCGTTTCAACACACTACGGTTCCTTTAAAAGTTTAAACCCTTCCGGTGATAAGAATCCACCCGAATCATGGAGGAGAATAGGTTATATCAAGACTCTTCTCATCCAACTAAAAAAAGAAGGAGAGTACAATCACTGCTCAATACTCGTTAACTTATGGTGACCAAATTAGGTTGTGCGATAGACTTACCTCCACTTGGTGCACCCTGGGCAACGTATACTCATATGGCAAAAGTCTGTTAACTGGCAATTGACTTCTCACTTCAAACTACCATCACCTCACTCTATGCCATATTCGACCATTCCCACAGTACTCACCTCACCTTTTTTCTACCTTTGTGTCTGTCTCTTACATCTTTGAAACACCCTTCTGTCCCCCCTCCTTTCGACTTTTTTCACTTTGATGTTCCTTCCCCTCTGTGAAGCATGAAGTCAACTAAAGGGCTAATGATAACCACCAAGACGCCTGCCATTTGATATAAATAAGTAAATGGTGACTAAATTTCTCCAAATTGTCATGTCTATCAGATGTGCGTCCTCCCCATCCGATGATGTTGTGATGTCTCCCTCCCCTCCCTTCCCTGGCCCCCCCCCTCCCCTGCATTTCTCAGAGAGGGTCTGGTTGAATTCGGTTGTCCACACGGAATTTCTGATCAGTGAAGTAATTAAGCCCTACATAACGAACAAGGTTAGCTTATAGTAGGTTATATATATATAACGCCAGGAGAATTCGGCCCTTTGGCACATTTCAGATAGAGGTCGAAAATAGTTGAGCCGGTGAATATGACCTCAACAGTCTCAATGCATTTCTGGCCTCCGAACTCCCACATGTTAATTCCATAGCTGCAGCAAAAGGGCAAGCACATTCCCAGTACTAAAATGCCAACCAGAATTGAAACAGTTTATACGACCCTCCGCAGGGTAAGTGTAAGATCAGCTAGCTCAAGGTTTCGGGTCAGGTCCAAAGCTGAAACCAGACTGAGTCAGTGATGGACACTAATGTTGATTATCTTGAATAACACATCTCGATAAAAGTGTAATTTCACTGTCAATTTACCTTTCTTTGAGGTGGCAGAATTTTTCTAAAGTCGTTTTAACTTTTCCCCACGTGACCGTCAAAGTCACCACCACGACCACCTTGTGGTTCGTGGCAAGAAACAAGACCGTCAGATCCTATCGGTTATCAGGCACCTGGAGCTAATTTTTGTTGGCAGATTGACAACTTATTGAAACGACTGTTATTCCTCTGACGGTGCGTTGATTTCCAAACATTAAAAATGCGCAAACTATTTGCATTCCTTCCTAAAGCCTCTGCTAAGTTAACATAGTCTTGGATAAATTGCACAAATAATTCAGCCTCCCACCCACACCCCCCTAACTCCAGAGTCATTTTTAGTCTGGTAATATCTAGTGCGTAGAGGTCAACGCGAGGGTAAGCAGATCTATCAGTACAAATGCATAGACGAGTCTCACTTTAAGCAATTTGCCAGGGCTTTTTCTTTCTCTAAGCCCTCTCTCTCTCTCAACTTCAACTAACGTAGCCGTTGCTTAATTTGCCTTGAACCTTATGAAATGCCACCCTCCAAGCGACCTGCTAATTGATTATCTAAACCAAAAAGTCGATGGACACACCTTACCCGTCATTTGGTGTCTGGCACATTGTGGTCCTGATAAAATTTCACAGGCACGCTAAAACTTGAGTTCAATTTGCTAACGTGAAATATGAAAGTAAAATTGGCAAAACCATTGACTAGACAAAATAGTTTACCAAATTATGGTGTAATAGACGTTAAAGAGAGTATTTTTTATGGGAAAACCGTTGTTTTTCTAATCAGAAGAATTCAACTTTAAAAGAATAGAGTAAATATTCCAACATGGACTAAATAGTGGGCATTTATTTTCTACCATAAGAGATTTCTCACACTTTACGACGAAACAGCATGTTCGACAGCCGAATGCACCCCACAGAGGGCAGGAGCTTAAAAGTCAAAATAGTCGATTAAGGGGGGGGGAACAGAAGAATAATTCTCGGTATAGAAAAAGGTGAGGTGAGTACTGTGAAATGGTCGAATGTGACATGCATTGGGGTCATGGTAGTTTGCGGTATGAGTATACACAACTGGTGGGCGGTAGGGACTATTTTGTCTCAATATACACAAACCTCCCAACCCAGACAACTCTATGGCCTAGCCTAGCCAAATGCGCACTGCGTCCCTGATTCGACTTCTCCGTCTGCAGTCTAGTACGAGGGCCAGCTTCTGACTTACTATGTGACTTGCATATGTGTGCATGCTAACATATTCTGTTCCGTTTATTTAGTATATATATGACAGCAAGATAATAGCATTTTAATATTATTATTATATCAAATGTCAGGCTTTATGATAGTTGTCATTAGCCCTTTAGTTGACTTCAGGCTTCACAGAGGGAGAGGAACATCAAATCGCAAAAAGTCGAGAGGGGGGGGAACAGAAGAGTGTTTTAAAGATGTAAAAGAGACAGACACAAAGATAGAAAAAAAGTGAGGTGAGTACTGTGGAAGTAGTCGAATATGACATACAGTGGGGTCATGGTAGTTTGAAGCCAGAAGTTAACTGCCAGTTAATAGACTTTTTTGCCGTATGAGTATACGTTGCAAAGGGTGCACCACGTGGAGGTAAGTCTATTTCGCACCCCGCATTTAAATATTATTTCAGAAGAATCGTATACTAGTCATGTCACCTTTATCCTTTTAATACGATTCTTCACAGAGCTGATAACGAGTTCATTACGTGTCAACATTTCCTAACAGAGAGGTAACTGTTCAAATACGTGTCTTTTCTCAAACCGAGTGGATTAAGTTCGTTACATTTTCTGTGAGAAATGTGCCCAACGAAAGAAAGGTAGTAAAAAGCAAAGGTTGACAATATGGTCAGACAAAGTTATAATTTAAAATCGCTTTTTTTACCATGTTCCACCGGAAATTCAGCCGAACAATCTGCGTAATTGCGCTTGTTTACTCGAAACCTAAAGACCCAATGAACTTGATTTATAGAATTCAAGCGTAATGCATCACTGTCGTAATCATTGCTATGTCTTCATCAACATTCGGCTCCACAGTTGTGCGTACTTCTTCTTAATTTTAGTAAATATTTACATGAGCCAATGATGAAGTTGGGGGGGATTACAATGGGAAATTCTAATAAAATATTGGAGTCGAAATAAAGATTTTCACGCAAAAACTATGAGTAACCAAACACAAAATTTTTAGTAAGACTCCTGATTGTAGACACCGTGATTTTAAGATAAAAATGTGCAACTGAGATACAATTGCCAAAATTGTGGTACAATAGTCCTAGTTGGTTTCGTACTAATGTATAGGGATTGCGTAGAAAACACTAAGGTAAGATCAGGGTGAAATTTTCATCAGAGATGTTATTGGATAGGTGTGCAATAGACTCACCTCCACGTGGTGCACGCTGGGCAACGTATACTCATACGGCAAAAAAAGTCTATTTACCGGCAGTTGACTTCTCACTTCAAACCACCACGACCCCTCTGGTTGTCATATTCGACCACTTTCACAGTACGCATCTTAACATTTTCTCTACCTTTGTGTCTGTCTGCCTCTTTTACATCTGTGAATCGCTCTTCTGTACCCCACCCCTCGACTTTCTTCTACTTTGATGAGCCTTCCCTCTGTGAAGCCTGAAGTCAGCTAAATGGCTAATGATAGCTATCAAAACTCCTGCCATTTGAAATAAATAAATAATACTTCTCTTTCAAGATAGGTGCTAGAAAGGCCTCTTTGAAAGACCTAGGAAATTCACAAAGTTGTCGGCTAAAACCAACTGGAATCTCGTTTTTTTAATAAAAGACTTCAGATGATTTTTTCTTACCGCATGAAGAGTGCAAGAGTTATTGTAAATGAGACTGAGGAATTGCAATATTTCTGTAGACGTCCTATCGTATTGACACATACAACATTGGGGCAATGAGGCACTTTGAAGCTCCCATTCAAGGAAGGAGTGGGAAGGTTCTCCCCCCCCCCCATTTTCTAAACGATGCGGCTTAAAAAAATGTTTAGACTTGAGTGAATACAAAAATTAACTTCTAGTTTATTATTGCAAAGCCATAATGCATTTTACGTGTTTTGTCCAAAGATTGTATTTGAATAAACAAACTTGCTTAATGAGGTCAATTACGCTGCAGGAGGTTTCAAATAAGTGGGCAATGAACTGTGGGTGACAATTTGTATAATTTCCAGAGCACGGAGTAGGGAATATTTCAAAGGATGGAAGGTTCCGCTTCTTAAGATCTTAACAACAAATCCTCACTATTTAACTCTAAAGTCCATTGGTGAATTTGGGAGTGGTATTACTACACCGTACGTAAATTCAAACCAAATTTAACTAAGTATAATCCACTGATATGGGTATAGTCACGTTAACTTTTATGTATAAGTTACAAAAGCTTATATAAGAAATGCATGATTTCAAATACAAATAATCACATATATTTCTAAAATCCTATAAGGTAATTGAAGAGAGAGGAAAAAAATTGTCTAGAAGACGTTGCCAGAAGCACGGAGAGAATGGAAGACTTTTTCAATAGCAACAATGTAAGCAGCTAGACGGAAGTCCAAACCCAGACCATAGCGTTCAGCAGTTTCCATAACCTGCCTTGACGAACGTTCAATTGTGAATTCGAGGCCAGAGTGCACAATATCCAATTCAGAAGCAGTGTCCATACGATGAGCTAATTCTGAGGATAGGGGGATGGGCTTTTCAACTGCGGACTCAATTATACCTAAGATCAAACAAAGCTCGAGATTAGGTTGAATGAATATAGCAGAGAGAAGAAATAGTTCTTAAACTTACGGACTAGGCACATGTTGTTCTCCTTTTCATACTTGAAGTTAAGACGACCATAGCTAACATGGTTGAGATTTTTTAGCCATTCAAAGTAGGAAACTGTAACACCACCACAATTCATTAGTAAGTCCGGAATGACCATAATATTCCGTTTAATGAGTTGATTATGAGCGTAGTAGGAAGTTGGACCATTTGCACCTTCTGCAATCACTTTTGCTTTTATCTTATCGACATTTTTAGCAGTGATCTGCCTTTGCAAAGCAGCTGGGATCAGGATATCACATTCGTAATACATGAGCTCATGTCTATCAACTTCTTCAGCATTGGGGAATCCTTTTAGAGATCCGTGTTTCTAAAACATCAAATAAAATTTAGACATTCGGCCGTAAACTTTAAAGGAATGTTATTGCAAGCTCAGGAGCTTACATTCCTATACTCATCCAACTCATTGAAGTCTAGTCCATTTGGATTGAATAAACCAGTGTCAATTTCAATGATACCGATGATTTTTGCTCCAGCAGCGTGAAGAAACTTGCAGGAGTAGGTACCAACGTTACCGAAACCCTGAATGATGATTGTCTTTCCTTTGATTCCAGGTTCATCTAGACCACAAGCTTTGCAATTCTTATCACATTCCACAAAGTTCCTAATCCCAAAGAAAAGACCCTTGGAAAGAAAAAAAGGATAAAATTAATCAATTCAGGAGTTTTATAATACCAATAAAGTTTTAATACTTACAAGACCAGTTGCTTCGGTTCGACCTTCAACACCACCATATTCAACCGGTTTACCAGTGACGCAACCAAGAGCATTTGGGTCACCAAAACCAACTGTATTTGCATAGGTATCAGCTATCCAGGCCATTTCTCTCTGCCCAGTGCCTACATCAGGAGCAGGAACATCAGCGTTTGGTCCTAAGAAGTTCTTCTTGGCCAACTCAAGAGCGAATCGACGGCAAATGCGTTCGAGTTCGCTAACTTTGTACTTGCTAGGGTCGATCTTAACCGCAGCCTTAGCACCACCAAATGGAATGTCTGCAAGACTGCATTTGTAGGTCATCAGGGTTGCCAAAGCCATAACTTCGTTCATGTTAACATCGGGAGCGAAACGAATGCCGCCTTTGCATGGGTTAATATGGTGCGAATGTTGAGCTCGCCAGCCTTGAATAATTTCAAACTCACCATTATCGAGTTTGATTGGAAAGTTGAATTCGAGAATGTCATCACATGGTTTCATTGACATCAGAATGCCATGAATATAATTTCGCTTGTCCTTTTCAGAACCCTTGAAGGGCAGCTCTGTCATGATCTTATTTTCGACATGAACCATAGCGTCATCGGCAAACATGCCAACCATTTCATAAAATGGTGGTTCAATTATACCATTGTTTGTCATTTCGTTTTGATGTTGATAAAAAGAATGTAAAGCCGCATATCATTGTCGCGAATTTATACGATTTTCAGTTGCCACAAATACGCACAAGGTTATTCAATTTTAACATTTATAATACTAAAACAATTACTTGAAGCCTTGAAAACGAGTTATTGCATAAGAGGTTAATTATCAAAATTTTAGAATACGTAATATTATTTACTGGTGCAAATTTGATTATTTTTTCTAGTTTTCAACAATTCTATGCATCTAATGTTCAACTCTGTTCCATAGCAATTGATTAGTTTAAATGCAAATCTTCTATACTAAGTAAACTAACATCATGTATTCTCAAAATATATTTATTTTACCAAATAGGCGTGAATTGCCATTTCTTCGGTTGTTTTAAGATTTGGTTTCGGTTGCCATCGTCTACACGATTTTGAGATATGGCTTAAGTAGTGCTAAAACCCAACGTATCCGAACCGGAAAATACTATACTCGCTGGAACTAGAATGCGTAGGAGTGCTATAGCTCGCGTTTGGGAGTGTTGACCGGTTCCTCAGCCCGGCAACAATCAAAATTCCGCTTAGTCAAAATTGTATATTCGCGACCAGTCGCTTCGCCGCGGCTCACAACTAGAATCAAAACTATTCATACCAAACCCTCTGTGGTCTCAATACTGTTGAGGTAACTTAGCTAATTTTGGGAGCAATTTCATGCAAAATGATTTTTTCATAGAAAGGGTTAAGATTTAGTCAATGCCTGTGTTTATAGCCACTAATTACTTAAACTGCATTTTTATGTATGAAATAAGGACAAAGTCCAAACCTCTAGATGTGTTCCTATGAATCACTAACCTGAGAGCATATTGCTACCTAATCACTTACACTAATTTTAAATCCTAATATTTTCCTCTCTTCTTGTAGTGAAACGGGTCTCATTCGATCCATTTGAAGCACACAAATTAATGAAGATGCCATTTTCATTACCCATTCATTAAGTTCAATATGTTTAGTAAAAAATCTTTACTAAATAATTTCTAATATTTCAGGTGAAATAGTAATAATTTATTGGCATTTATTTGCGACATCTTTGTTATCACTTAGTTTATGCCATTTTATCACTTATAGGTTATTATTTTTGGACAGATTTTGAGCTGACCAGCACAGACTCTGCAGTTTAACTCCCTAAGTAATGACGATAATTACAAATACAATTCGACAATGCCACCAGACCAAAATATGGAGCAAGTTTCTCGTCGAGTGTGTAAAATACAGTCCCTCATAGAGAGAAGTAAACGGAAACTGCAACAAGAGTGTTTAGACATTCAATTCTCTCTTTCCACTGCTACTAACTATTCGATGACTCCGTGGAAATGAAGCACATTGAGAAGTTTCCAAGGTCTGAATACCTTCTTGTCATGTGTCCTCTTTCCATTTTGGTCTTGCATATCTAAAAACTCTCATTGAATTTTGTACCTAATAATCTGACCTCTAATGTAATTCGCATGCGGTAGGCCTTAAAATAAACTGTGCTAGTCACTGAATTTACCTTACTTAAAAAAGGGGAATTACAAGACAAAATATTTAATCAGAATTATTCTTTCCCCTTATTTAAATGTGTAATTATATTAAATGGTCCGAAAAAGCAAATAATTTACTTTTAACTAAATATAGGCCAACTGCGTTTCCTGGAAATATGCATTTTGGCATCGAGTACTGAGAAAGTTAATTGTGTAGCGGATTGATACACTAATAATTCTTGTCTGGGGTGTGCGATAGACTTACCTCCACGTGGTGCACCCTGGGCAACGTATACTCGTACGGCAAAAAAGTCTTTTAATCGGCAGTTGACTTCTGAGTTCAAAATACCATGGCACGACTGCTTGTCATATTCGACCGCTTCCGCAGTACTCATCTTACCCTTTTCTCTGTCTTTGTGTCTGTCTGCCTCTTTTACATCTGTGAATCGCTCTTCTGTTCCCCACCCCTCGACTTTCTGCTACTTTGATGAACCTTCCCTCTGTGAAGCCCGAAGTCAATTAAAAGGCTAATGATAGCTATCAAAACGCCTGCCATTTGAAATAAATAAATAATTCTTGTCTGTACTCAGAAATCTCTATTTCAAGTTCCTTTATGTTTGGAAAGATTCCAAGAACTAGCTAA